AGTTTTTATTGTTTCTCTCGGCGATTTAATTAAATTTCTAAAGCGTGCCGCCGCCCGTCAATGTTGATGTTTTGATGCTGTTAGTTGGCCATTTAGTTGCAGCGTTTATTTGTTTGCTTTAGGCGCGTCGACATCTCCCCCCTCGGTTCCCCTTCCATGTTCCCCCAAACCCATTCCACAAATCCAATCCAGTTTTAGTTTCTGTTTTAATACGATTTTCACACATCTCCTCTGCTGGCTGCAGGGCGTTTTATTTTTAGTGCCGCAATCAAAAGTTTTGCAAATGTTTATGCACATTCCTTGGTGACCACAAGTCTTTGGCAATCTGTTTGTTTTTCTGTTGATGGTTTTTGCGATTTTTTTTCAGGTTTTGTAAGATATAAGGGGTAAGAAACTGATATATTAGATCAGATATAATTAAAGGTAAGAATTCAAGAGAAATATCTATTTTTTGTTGTTTTAAGTGGATCAAACACAGACTATGAATTTAAAAATTTATAAAAAATATATCTATCTTTAGTTTATACAAAAACATTTTAAAAACCTTTAAATTAAGGGCTTTTCAACTAGATTTTTATAGTTTGAAGACCAAAAATATTTTAAAATTAATATTAATAATTATTTTTTCTTTTAAAATTCAGCCTTACCTTTAATATAAGAATTTCTAAATATTTTTAAAAATCTTGCATATATCTATTACGTTTTCTTATATAAAATATTTAATAATAGTGTTTATTTATTGCTTGCAATGACATTGTAATTATACAACAAAATTCTTTATAATTTTTAAAATTATTTTCTAGCTTCTTTTGTTTATACAAAATTTATCACCACTTATGGCATTAACATATCAGCTCTAGTTTTCAATCGCTTTTACGCTCTTTAGCCATAGACCAGCCAGGGCCATATAATTCATAGAGCCACACACGTTTCTTCATTAAATTCCACGTGTTTATTTGTTTAAACTAACCTTTTATGAGGCAGTGGCGCTACAGCTAGCCGCAGACACACGCAGATACATGGATTTAGTAGGTGGCGTCCGGGGTTATCTATCACATAGACGCCTCTGCTGCTGCTAATTGAATTTAATTGGTGCGAACAAAAAATTTCACAGAAAATATAAACAAAAACTTTCTTCGTGTTCTTGTTGCTTTTTGTGTAGCATAATTTTATGAGTTGTTTATTTCGTTAAACAAGAATAACCTTAGCTTGTTATGGCACATTTTTATTGTCGCTTGTTTATGAATAAAAACAAAAGAGAACAGAAACGGAGCAGAATGGTTCAAGAGTTTAGTTTTTTGATTTTTTGTGTATTCATAATAATTGTGGTCAAAGGAATTCACGATCTGGGCGTTAAAAATCTATAAACGAATGTTGGCGCTGCATGATGCTGGCTGGGAAGTATGTATTTATATACTCTATAAGGAGTAAAAGGGTAAATTTAAGAGGTTAAGATTGTTTAATATTAATTGGTTATTAAGTATTGAAGGTACTTGTTCTTTAAACTGTGGTTTACATAAGATTTGTAATTAATAAGTAACTTTGGGGACTTGAAAATATTTATTTAAAATATTTTTCAGTTCGCTCTTGTTAATATTATTCAGTTTAAATATATTTTATTTATTGTTTTGCTTAATTATAAACTCAAACCATTTTTAAATAATTTTTAAAGAGCATTCAGACTTCCCCATTTTAACAAAACGGCATCATATTACCAACTTCTCCCACAAGCTGCCTTTACCTTCGTTGCTGTGGCGCCACTTCGACCCAGAGATCATCATCTGTAAATCATTTTGGTTGACAACCCGCTGACAATTGGACGAGACTGATCCTCGGGACAAGCTGCTGGCTGAGAAGACAGCTCAATTCGGTGCTGGTGCTCCAGCAAAGTCGTTCCTTAACGACGCCTCATATACTCATATATACTATACGGACATAAAGTCGCGTGGCTTATTTAAAATTAACAAAGCAATAAAAATGCAAAAGCTGGGCAAGCAAAGCGATAACAATGTGAGAGAACAGCGAACGAAGGGGGAGCAAGGGGTCCTGGAATAGCCTGCAGTAAAACAAGTTCATTGTGGGGAATATATAAGCCTGGCAAACTTACTCATTCTAAGCCACAGTACAAGTGAAAAAACTATAGCAACTTTTCCAAGGAAATCCTTATCGAGCTGGAGTCCAAGGCAGCTTATCATATCGGCAGCTAACAAACCCAAATCCCTGACCAGTCGCCTTATCGCCATCGCATCATCGCCATTTCGACCTGGCCAAAACAATGCAACGCGCAATCAGCGACACTTCATCGGCCACCAACAAAAAATACAAAATAAAAAGAAAAACAATAAACAAAAAAATAAAATCCGGGAGTGGGCAAAACTGAAAGCCAAATAAACAAAAGGACACGGCGCGTAATGAGGGCGAAAATATCTTTATTTAAGGAGCTCCCTCAGCCGGCTGGCTGCTTCCTTGGAAGACAACAGAAGTCCGGTGCCAGGCAGCAGCAGCAGCAGCAGCAGCAGCAGCAGCAGCACATATTTGTCATTCGCAGGGAGCCCCTCCTGGGGGCAGCGATATGGCTCCGCGGGGCAATAATCATGAACAGATCTTGTAGACGCCGCCATGGACCAAATGCTCCTTAATTAGATGAGGCGACAAGCCAAAGCCTGGCTGCTGCTGGTTCTGCAGTTCTGTCCTCGTACGAGGACGAGGACTAGGAGCACTTTGAGGCTCAAACACGATCTGCAAAGATTGCAGGTTAAAAAATGGGTTTATTTTTATAAATTTGATTTCAAAATGTTAGGTTTTAAATAATTAAAATATTAAAAGAAATATTTGAATTAAAGAAACTTTACAAAATATATTAAAAAATGTCTATAAAACATTACAAAATTTATAATTGCTTATAAAATATTCTTAAATAATCTATAAGGTCAGAAAAGTAACAATAATATATTACGTCATTTAACATATTCCAAAGTTCCTTGATAAATTATATAAAAATTCCTTATATTAATAAATAGTTAATATTATTACTTTAAAAATTTTCCCAAGTGCACTTCATTTTAGGTTCTTGGTTTTTGGTTTATATTAAGGAACGGTGGCCAAAAACAATGCCGTGTTTACAACTTGTACGCTATGCTAGTGGCATGCTCTTACCCAGACCTCATCTTCCTCCTCGACATCCTTGTCCCATCCCCAAAACGTAATCCATGCCCTTTGGGCCCTTAACTCGCGGTCTGGGAAATCTGCTTGACTTTGGCCAAGTCTCGACTTCTGCCACTAATGGCATATTTTGCATTCCAATAAGGCATTGCGCCAATTGCAAATAATTTTCGAGTGTATAGGCTTTGGCTTAATAAGATCACGATTCCCAGATAAGACGACTAGATAGCAACTAGGACTCCAGCTGGCTCCAAGGGTTTGAATATGGTTAACAGTGGTCAGGGTAAGTGTGGGAGCATATTCATAAGTAAGAAATTCCGGGGGTAAACAGAGATTTTAAGATAAATTTAGAGAGAATGTTTTGGGTGCTAAACAGATTTTGGGTTTGTTGATTTGCTTGGGGAAAAATCTTTTTAAATAATTATAATCTATTTTATACTATTTTTATTGTATTATTATGAAATATTTTCTATAGTTTAATTATATTAGATTACTATAATAGGGATTTAATATTAATTAATATTTAAAAAACAAAACTAGATCTTGTGGATTTTTTAACCCAATTTAAGACAAAACATTTCAACCATTTACACAATTATAAAGATCTTCGAAGGTTTTTAAAAGTATTTTCTTAAGTTTTTGTAGATTTTATCGATTTAAACATATGTTTGTGATATTTTTAAAAACGTTGAAACATCTGCAATCAAAAAAGCCTCCTTGTGATTTATTTTTACTAATTTAAAACAAACAGTTAACCGACTTAGCAACCCTTACGTTTTATTAAAGAAATTTCCCTTCTTAAATTCCCAAAAGTAGAGTACCTACAAGTCATTGAATCCTTTGAATTGTTCACCCAAGAAACAATAACTTAATTTAGTTGTCTTACATCGTGTCGTTGTCGTCGCCAGTCGAGGCAGTCGGTCCAGACACCCCCGAACCTCAGGCATCCCCCCGCTCAGCCCCAACCCGATCTCCTTGTGGCCACAGTTCACTGTAGTGGCAACCTTTGCATGGTGGTATGTCAGCAATTCTGTAAACAGAGGAGGACACAAGGCTACATCTGAACCAGGGGGAGAGGAGAACCAAGTGGAGTACGCATATGGATCGCGGATCGGGCTCGAGAGTCCAGCGTATGTAGCGCCAATTACACAAAGCCAAAAGAGTCACCAGCAGCAGCTCGCTCGCTCTCTGTGGCGAAATCTGTAAATCTGAGCACAGCAAAAAAAAAGCAAAAAATTAAATAAAAAACCACCGCAAAATGCCATTTGACCAAGATGGGTCCGAGATGATAAAGCGCTCGATTCGCCCAGACGTGGGCGCCAAACAATTCAATGCAAAAGGGGCAATTAAAGCAATGAGATGGCAACAGATACACTGAGGAAATATATGCTATAAATAAGGTAATAAAAATATTCAAAATTCAAAATTAATTAATAGAGATTTTTCCAGAAATCAGCAATCCCTTTTTTGACTGCAAACTTTTATACACACTTTTTAACTATTTTAAAGTATGTTATTTCTGTCACACTCCCCTTTCTCTATTAAAAATTGGTTTTTCATAAAATTTATAAATTTATTTTAAAACATTTAAAGAATATAAGGAGCATTTGTTACTATTTTTGTTAGCTTTTTATCCTTTTATCCTTTTATCCTTTGTATTAAAAAATATTTATGAATAGAAAATAAGTTGTCTTAAAACACTTACCTTTTATATACCTAAAAAAAAGTTTCCCCCCAAAATATATTTCCCAATTTTTTCTCTGTGTACCTAACCCCTTCCCCCTTCGTTTTCCCTCCCCCCTCAAAACCCAAGCCTCATCGAATTAATTTGCGGCGCATTTTAGTTTACAACTTTGTAATTAATTTGCAAAAAGGGACAGACACAGAAGGAGGCCTTAGGCCGCCGATCGGATGACATTTGTGGTTCCCCGCGACCAGCCTGCCGCGCTCCTTTTTTTTTCCTATTAGTACTCCTTGTGACATTTGCGTGCTGCTGATGACTTCATGCTCCGTATCCAACTCCTAAAGCAATCGGTACTTGATGGCACGCAGCATGGGGAAGCGATCGTTGGTGCACTGACCACGGAAGTCATCCTGGGTTAGATCAAACAGAGCCACTCCGCCCAGATTCTTGACCCTCGCATACTGGGCCTTGCTGGAAGCAGAGTCTGGGTCATCATAACTGATCCACAATCCATGATCGCCGTTCTCATCGGCAGCACGGAAGGCATAGCTTCCATAGCGCTTGGTGGGATCCAGCACCCTTTTCACCGGAGCATTGGGTCCCCTGGCATTGGAGTTACTTGGATTGGGCATCAGTTGGCAGATCTCGGCCCAGTTGAGGAGGCCCTCCTTCTTGCTCTGGGCTCCTGCGGGAGCTGGTCCATCGGTGGAGGCCACCACAGGTGCTCCAGAGTCACCAGAATCCTTGGTCATCTTCCACGAGCGGCCATAGGTAGCAATGCCAATGTTGAGCTTGTTGGCTGGCACTCTCTGGAGCAGCCAGTGTTCCAACTGGAAGTTGACATTGTAGTGGCCAAGACGATTCTGGCCAAAAGCCTCGTACAAAGGAGCTGTAAAGTCAGCTTCCTCGGGGTTACGTTGGGGGGTGAGAAAGTCAAAGGCTCCCAGGTTGATAAGGTCCAGACTGGGTGCAATGGAGGGGGCATCATAGTACCCTAAAATAGAGAGATTTTAGTTAAATTAGAAAAGAATCTAAAGCAGACTTTGTGGAAGATAGAACACATCTAGAGTTACGAGGTAAAAATCAATAAAAGCGATCTGTTGTATCAGTTGTGTTTTACCTTAGCAATTAATTGCTTTTCTGAGTCAACAAACTTATTAGCTAAGTAACTATTTTCAAACTTACAGCTCGAATTCACATTGGGCAGCACCGTGAGACTCAGCAGCAGATCATTCTGCCTGAGGGCAGCACTCAGATCCTTGACCAAAGCGGTAATCTGTCCCTTGTGGGTCTCCGAATCAGTGTCCACAATGAAGTCGCCAGTGAAGAACTTCTTGAAACTCTTCCAGGCCGAACCCACATCCCCATGCACTTTGCGTGGCTTATTCCTGGGCAACTGCAGAGCCAAGTCCAAACCATCAAAGTTGTAGCGCCTGACGAGATCCCGAGCCGATTCGATGAAGCGCTTGTGACCCTGCTGGCCTGATTCCAGGAGCTTTATATACTGATTACCCTCGTTCAAGTCCGCATCACCGCCCACACTCAACAGGAACTTGATGTGGGGATAGCGCTCCTTCAAGCTGGACACCTGAGCCAGGTGACGCTGCTCGAGATCCAGGCGTCGATTGATGCTCTGCACCTCGTAGTTATCGGCATTGACGCCGGCATAGCCATAGACCAAGTGAGTGCAGAACTGCAAAGCCAGCTCCATGTCGGTCATGGAGAACTGAGCCAGGCCTGAAATCAATAGAAATTATTATAAATTCAATTATATTTTTCCAGAAATACTCACCCGCCCGCTGAAAGCCCTGCGAATCATAGAAGCAGATCAGATTAGGAGCTGCGGTCACTTGGAATTGAGCCAAAACCGCTAAGCTTAGACCCAGGCTGAGCCACAGAGAGCTTGTCATCTTTCGTGGGAGATAAAAGCCAGAGAGCTCGACTCGAAAGATACTATAGATTTTGAATAAACACAAAAATGAAACCCTCAGAGGTTATAATTGGAACACTCCGTCGCCGGCGAGAGGCGAAACTAAACTGAAATCGGAATGACACTGAGCACTAAGCACTGGCATCGGCTCTGGCACTGGAAATTGAAATGGAAATGGCACTGGGAGCTTTTTTGTAGAGTCGCCTCCACACGATTCCCCGAAACGAAGCGAAAACCCCGGACGAACGTAACGAACAATGGCAAACGCAGTTCGTGGGACTTATTATCAACGAAAAATTCAACGAAATTGTTTGTCTCGAGTGACAGCTGACACCGGGTTCAATGAGATCACTTCTCTCATCTCGGTAATTTACACTAAGAAAAGAGAATGTTATAGAGGCTTATCTGCCCGAGATAATGCCTGTACCCATAGTAGTCATAGTTTAAATACGCAAATCTCTGGTGGCAGCTTATGGGTGCTTCTCTCGGATAAGTTTGCAACTTGTATGATTCCCCAAAGGTGTTGACGAATTAACAGGGTCGTTACTAGTCGAGTCATGCTCCAAATATAAGTGTATATATATAGTCTCGGAATGATTAAGGGATTACGTGGGAGTTTACAATGTTTAAGTTGGGATTATTGATGTGTTGGGTTTCAAGGTCTCATAAAAGTAGGCACTTCACAAATAAGTGCAAAATAAATAAAAATATTTACGAGATTTATACATAAGTAAGGCGATAAATCATAGAAATAATAAAGCTTTTGCTAAAAAATATTAAGAAAAATATTTTCTAGAAATTTTGGTAATTATAAATATATATTGTTTTGAATTCTAAATCAAAATAAGAGATAAGAAAACGCACTCAAGTATTTTTAATGAATCATCTTTTATTTGTTATAACTTTCCATATAAAAATATAAAATCTTCGTAGATCTACAAACGATACTTCACCGCCCTTAGGATGGGATACCTATCGTTGGTGCACTGGCCACGGAAATCATCGTAGCTCAAATCGAAGAGGGCCACGCCTCCCAGGTTTATGGAGCGGGCATAGGCCGCCTTATTGGAGGCTGTGTCGGGATCATCGTAGCTCACCCAAATGCCCTCGGTTATCTGTCCATCAACGGGACGATAGGCAATGGTGCCGTATCTCTTGGTGGGATCCGTTATCCTTCTCAACGGCGAATCGTTGCCCTTGAGAAACTGATTATGGGGATTGCTGAGTTTTCCACAAATCTCGGCATAACTCAGTAGTCCCGGCTTCTGGGACTGGGTTCCCTCGGGGGCAGGTCCTTCGGTGTGGGGCACCACTGGCACTCCCTCAAGACCGGAATCATGGCTCAACTTCCAGGCATTTCCATAGGTGGCGACTCCGAGGTTGATCTTGGACGATGGAAAACCCTGTTTCACCCAGTAATTCACCTGGAAATCGGCATTGTAGTGTCCCAGACGATCCTTTGAGGTGGGATTGTAAATAGGAGCAGTGTAGTCAGCCTCATCGGGATTGCGGGCGGGTGTCAGGAAATCAAAGGCAGCCAGGTTCACAAAGTCCACCAGGCCATTCAGAGCAGGAATGTCAAAGTACCCTGAATAAATAATAATTAAAATAACTGCAAATAAATTAAGGATATTTTGAAAATACTTACAAGTAGAGTTGACATTGGGCAGGACGGTCAAACTGAGCAGGAAGCCATCGGCCCTTAGGGAGTCCTTGACATCTCTAACGAAGGCCGTAAACTGCTCCTTGTGCAAGGCTGCATTGGGATCCACAATAAAGTCGCCGGTGAACAGCTTCTTGATGCTCTTCCAGGCGGAACCCAGTTCACCATGCACCTTCCTGGGCTTGTTCTTGGGGAACTGATAGGCCAGATCCAAGCCATCGAATCCGTAGTTCTTCACCAAGTCATAGGCAGATCTGATGAAGGCAGTTTGACGCACTTTCTCGCCCTCCAGCAGCTCGATATACTTGTTCGGGTGCTCCACATCGATGTCATGATCACCGCCAACGCTGAGCAGAACCTTCAGGTGTTGATATTTCCTCTTCAGGGCAGTCACCTCGGAGAACTGGTGCTTGTAAATGTCCAGGTTCTCGTTCAGGCTATACGCCTGATAGTTTTCGCCACGGATTCCCGCATAACCGTACACCAAGTGCGTGCAGAATTGCACTCCGATCTCCAGATCCGGATTGAGTAGCTTGCCCAGACCTAGAATATACACAAAGTGCGTTCAGAGATCACATTATTTTATTATAGATGGGAGGTATGACTAGCTGCACTCAAATGACAAACAATCTGAGGTCTGGAGAGCAATATCTGGTACAAAAACACTCTCGCTGGCCGGTCCATAGAAAAGCTGGAGAGATCTCAGATCGACGGATCATCCTCTCCCGCTGTCCGGTCCATTGTCTCCGCTGGCTTCAGTGGCTTAATTGAACGCCAGCAGTGTGAGCCCAGCGAGCGGTTTAATGTGGATCGACTTGGGTGCGGGGCACAGTGGGATGGGGTATGATGAAAATGAGTAAAAAATAGTTGACAAACAGAAAATATTCTGCTACTTTTGGTTTTAAAGAGGCTCTCAAAATATTTTTTAACGATTTTTTTAAACTTTTTTAAAGCAGGAAATAAATAAGAAAATGGGTAAAAAATAAAAAAATAAAAAAATTTATTTTAATATTATTTTCCCTTGATATATAAGCTTAAATCAATTTAACATAAAAAATATATATTTATTTTTAAATTCGCATTTTACACCTTAAAATACCGGATAAACCTCTTAAAATTTCGTGACACTGTGCAGAGTCACTTGAAGCTCTGTTTGCCACTTGTTCGGATCGGATTTGGTGCCAGTTGTCGTGCTGTACTCGCTGTGTGTTGAACGCTCTGGTTTTTCACTTCAAATGCGTGGGATCGGTTCAGATTTGAGTTAACTCATCCAAAGCCTAGATTGCAGATAATCAAAATATCCAACTAATAGCCATACTTTTGGTGGGTCATTCCATAATTACTGTATTGGTAAGTCAAATCCGGTCTAATTAGCTTGTTAACTCGGCTTGAAATAAACACTCTGCTTTGTCTGTAGCTGCGGAGAGAGAGAACCAGTGTGTCTCTCTCTCTGTATTTATTTGTTTTTATAAAAAACTTGTCCGATAAGCCACTGACCTCACGTCTTTTGGATTGTTATAGAACTATATAGCTCTGGCTCGGCTCTCTTTTTGTTTCTCTCTCGCTGGGCGATAAGCGAGCTGAATTAAATCAAGTCCGAGTTTTGTTTTGAACACTGAAATGATTATGTAACTATGCTAATCATGTTTTTGGTTGTCGTAGTTCATTTGTAAATTTTGTAAATTTGGCACAGGCTTATCAAAAGGGGTTGTGTTTGTATATGAAATATATAAATTATATACTTTGAAAAGCAATACAAATAAACTATTTAAATAGGCTTTACTAGACATTTTAACTCGAATTTTTATGGCTTTTTCAAGGCTTGTTTTTTTTTCAAATATAAATAAATAATTTATCTGGTTGAGTAAGGTTTCCTTGCAAATATTTGATTAAGCAAAAAGCTATTACTTAAAGAAGTAGGTATACAAATCGTTGATTATCAAGTTTTTTGTAATGAACTCTTAGCAGTTAGAAGTCTTGTTTTGATTTTTCTGTAGCAAGAATTAATCTTTTAATAAGCTTCGATTAGAAAATGGGTTAAATATATAATTAAAAGTGTACATAGGTCTGAACTTGTGAACTGTAGGGTACTGTTTACTATATAATGGAGAAAATATAGTTAGGTATTTTAAATTTAAATAAATTATAAACCTAAACCTTTGCTAAGTTCAGTATGTTTAAAATTGTAAAAAATTGCGAGAGGTTTGAAATTAATTTATAAGTGATTTCTTTAAGTAATTTAATATTAAATATAATCATGAAATCTATTAAAAATAAATCAAAATATGTTTGAACTATGTTCTGTATGATTTCTATGATTTCAGTTTCGTTTTGAAACTTTTATTTATTCACTTCTCTTAGTTCATCAGTTTCTATTGTTGATTCCCTATAGTTATAGGTGTTTTTCTCTTAACACTTGTCATTTTTAACACCTTTTTGCATTTAAGTATTAAATAACTTCCACCACCTTCCTCACCTTCTCTCGTGTAACTCGAAGAGTCGTAGTAGCAAACCAAGTTGGAGGCTGCTTCTGTGCTCGCCGCAAAGAGACACGCGACAAACGTGAACCAGATCCAGGGCTTCATGGTGCCGGGTATAAAATATATATATATCTATATGTTTGCACTACAAAAATCTCAATAAACACAACCGCAAGGCAGATTGAATGAAATCGAACTGAAGTTGAGGCTGAAATCGAAATGGAAACTGAAACCGAAATCAACGACAAAAGCTTGAGAGGAAGCTTTAAGACGAGCTCCTCCCCTCTTCTCCATAACCAGACCAAAGTCGAGCCAAAACCAAGCTTAATTTCAGTTTACTTATTCTCGCAATGACTTAATTGTGCACTCACAAATTAATGACGACGATGTCGTCGTCGTTCCGCCGCAGGGTCAAGCTTGGGAGGCCACTAAAAAATACAAAAAAATAAGCACAACATTGAAACACGTTGGCTGATTAGAATTTAAAAATTTCGCAATTGAAAATAACAAAACAAAAAGTTGAGAAAAAACCCATCTAAAATATAAATTATTTGAACGCACGCACTATTCCTTGGAGAATTCGAAAATTATTTTAGTAATTAAACTGCGAATAAAATGATAAACAAAAGCATGAAATCATTCTGTTGTTTGTCAAAATTACACTGGGAAGAAATCTCTAAATTATATAAATTATTGACATTTAAATTGTTTATTATTTTAAAGTGTACTTTTTATTTTCATAACTTTTTCATTAATATCAAAATTAAAATATTCAACTATTCAGCTAGTTAATAATAAATACTTTAGGCCATAAAGTATTTAATTGATCGCACAATGGGGAATTTCTGGCCAGTGCAGAGGCCCCGGAAATCATCGCAACTTAGATCGAAAACGGCGATTCCTCCAAGCCCCTTGCCCTTGGCATAGGTTGCCTTTATTCCGGCAAAATCCGGATCATCAAAGCTCAGCCACACGCCATGATCACCATTGTCATCTGCCGGACGGAGGGCGTAGTTCCCATATTTCTGTGTAAGATCCGTGACCTTGCGAAGCGGTGCCATCTCTCCCCTATATTGAGCCGATGAATTCTGTGCCAATTTCGAGCAAATCTCCGGCCAACTCAGTAAACCTTCCACGCTATTGATAAGCAGTCCTCCGGGAGCAGGACCATAAGTTTCATGGACCACAGGAAGGCCACTCAATCCAGAGTCCTTTGTCAGTTTCCAGGCACGTCCATAACTGGCAATTCCTAGATTCAACTTTTGAGCGGGACAATGATTATGAAGCCAGTAATTAATCTGATAATCAATATTCAAGTGTGGCAGGCGATTTTGTTCATCCTGGAGGAAGATAGGAGCAGTGAAGTCAGCCTCCTCGGGATTGCGGAGGGGCGTTAAGAAGTCAAAGGCAGCCAGGTTGATGTATTCAAAGTGGGGATGCAGCTTGGGGACATCAAAGTACCCTGGAAGAGGGTTTTGTATTTTAAGACTTTAAGAAGAAAGCATTAATAACAATTTCTACTTACATGTAGAATTCACATTCGGCAACACAGTCAGACTCAGCATGAGATTGGCACTGCGAAAGGCGTTCTTCAGATTCATCACCAGATCCGTGAACTGTGACTTGTGATGCTCCGCCAGGGGATCCACCACAAAGTCTCCGGTAAACAGTTTCTTAAACTGCTTCCAGTAACCGCCAATAGCTCCATGCACCTTTCTGGGCTTGTTTCTGGGCAGCTGGAAGGCCAAGTCCAGACCATCGAATCCATTTCTCTTCAACAGAATCATGCTGCTATCTATAAAGTTCTGCTGCTGAGTGCGATTCGCCTCCAGGAGCTCTATATACTTGTTCGGATGAGCCTCGTCCACGTCGTGATCACCGCCCACACTCAGCAGGATCTTCAGCTGGGGGAACTTCTTGTGCAGGTCCGTAACCTCAAAGTAGTGGAACATATCCAGGTCCACGTTCAGGCTAAACAACTCGTGGGTATCGGGCTTCAGTCCGGCGTAGCCGTAAACCAAGTGGGTGCAGAACTGCATGGCCAACTCCAGATCCGAGGACTGCAGCTTGGCCAGACCCTTGCGCAAATACGAGGTTGAGTCATAGTAACAGATCAGGTTACTAGCTCCCTGGGTCAAGCTCGTCACGCTGAGCAGACCCAGTAAATAAAATAAAATAAATCTCATTTCGATGATTGTAGGTAGAGAGAAGTATACGTCCTGACTTTATGGTTGATAATTTGCAACTGCCTCACTGAGATTTTGTTCGAGAGCTTTTGAGCTCAGCTGCTCGTCTCGGCTTATCTCTGAATGTTCCGTCGATGATGCCATTATCTATCGGGTTTCAAGGCATTACGTTTGTAGTTCCTGTCAATGTTTTCAATTTCTATTGCGTTTGTTTAAGCTTTTTTTTGTTTTTAGTTATATATTTCCATGAAACGTGCCATGACTCAACGTCAAGGGGTCTCTGGGTGGGTTATATTCTAGGGGTTTCTGGAGAGTTTTTTATTGCTTCTAAGCTTAAACTTAATTTAAAGTTTTTCTTAGTAAAAATATCAGTAAATAAAAAGGGCAGCTAACTTTGGCAAGCAGCTTATTGTTGTATTCAGTGGTTACATTTTCCTTTTCCCATGAATTATTTATAGATTATAATATTTAATATTTAAACCACTTATATTTATTTAAAAATTAAATATCTTTTATTAATAGCCCAATGCTTCTAAGCCTAGACTTCTCTTTTACCGCACCGCTTTTTATGATTCACTTCATCTTTTTTGCGCACCGTCATCATTAGGCTGTTGATGAAGGTGAAAGACTTTCAATTAGCCTGACCCCGAAGAGATCTCTAAGACTCTGCGAGGCGGAGGACAACCTGCTGGGCTTCAGACTCTTCGGCAGCTGTCTTTGGGTCCGCGGGGAGGCACTTAAATCAGGAATCAATTGAAGCATAAAATACCCCAAAACAAAGCACCGAAAGATGTTCGCCGAGCAAAAGTCGAAAATGGGACCAGAGCTAATGACAGGCAGTCACAACAATACTGCGGGGATTCAGGATTTGAGATTCGGGATCGCATGTACTCTCATATGTGACACAACCAATTAGACAAAGGGACCAAGTGGCGGGTCCTTGCCAAAGAATGCGTAGTAATCCTCACACGCTGCTTAGCGTTGACAATGAAAAACCCCCGGAAAATCGAGGGGCGTGTTCGTGTTGAGAGGCGGCGGCGCATTATCCTCGAATGTCCTTCAGTGTTGAGTGTGTGTGTGTGTGTGTTATCCGCAAGGCATATCTGTATCTGTGTCTCTCATTGTTGTTTGATTTATATCAGAGGCCGGGCTCATCATCATCGTCATCATGGGCATCATCATTCCATTGTTTGCCAACACTCTCCCCATCTAATACTCCCATTGTGCCCCAGATAAAACGAGTCCAAGCCCAGCTATTTGATGTTTATTTGTATGTATATACGATGTCCACTGTCTATTAGCCACAAATCCCCATTTTAATCTCACATCTCACAGTCTCAGTCGCAGTCTCAGTTTTAGCCTTGGTTTGCCTTATTTGCTTTGGTCTTTTTGGGGTTTGGCTAGTTTCGATATCATCAATCAGTCAATCATTGCTGGGCAAATAGAAATCAATGCCAAATAGCTTAATGTGTGAATTAATGCGTTATATGGAGGGGATTGTATTACATTTATGAGCTTTATATTTGACTTTTATGTTGATCTTTAATAAACTTGAATACTTTTTGGGGAATAATATTATTTTTTGAATAAAATAAACAGTAATAGTAAAGCTAAGGGTACCTATATTATGTTCAATTTAAAGGAAACAACTTTAATTTTAGGAAAAGTATTTAATTTTTATCAAGATTTATATGTTTAATGTAGAATTTCTAGATACTACCAACCTTTAAGCCAGACACAATCTATAAAGCTTTCTTATGATTTAAGCCACTTTCCCTTAAAGTCAATTAAAGCCTTTTTCGAAACAATCTTAAATTTTCCCAAGTACTTGCCTAATACCCCTCAGACTTATAGCCTTCCATTCATTTAAACACCTTAAGCTGGAAACATTTTTATTTACTTCCCCCCTTTTTGATACAAAACTTGAAATTGGTTTCCATTATTGCGCATTCTTTGGGGCTCAACTTGGCTGTAATTAAGTCCAATAATAATTTAAACAAATACCTTTTCCAATTTTTGAAGAGAACAACACCATCCCTCCGGTTCACCTTTCAGCCTTCAGCCTCATTATCTCTGGCAGCAGGTGCAGAAAACCGCGAAACATTCGCCTTATTTTCATATTTCTAATTAGACAGCCGCCGCTTTTGAAAAGTTCGTGTAACCGGGCAGACAATGCAATGCCCGGAAGTCCAAAGGAAAATTCAATTTTCACAAAACAATTGCCATTAGGCAAAGGTTTTCCTGCTTCTGCCAGGATAGATGAGTGCTCTGCCCAATTGATGTGCCTAATCAGTTTATCTAAGACATTTTTTTTTCGGCCAACCTTCTAGGGGTTGCTGGCCAAAAGCGAATTCATCATTGTCAAATGTGCGGCTTGACATTTTTTCCAGGGGATTCCAAAAAATGTAAACTTTTTGAGGCAACTTTTGGCTTTTTTTTTTTGTGTGCGTCGAGTCGAGGGTTGCCTTTGGCGGGCAATATAATTAGAAATTCATAATGAATTTTATTTGCTTTGGCCACAGAGCAGGGAAAAGGAAAAACACGAGACACAAGGCAACGTTGCCTTGTCCAAATGTATTTTTTCGGTAATATTGACGCGCATTTTTGTGCAAATAAAATTAAAGCACCCCTCCGACCCACCGCATAAACAGGGCCGAGGCATATCAAATTATCAGCCAAGGGCTGGGCAGTAGTCAGTCATTCAGTTCATCAACTGGAGACTCTGGGTCGAGCCTTGGATTTGAATTTTTTTCAGTTTTTTGTTTGGGGGGGGAGGTGTGATGGATCTGGGGGTTTTGGAGGGTGTTAATGCGGCGTGCAGGTATCAAAGCGACGTTTGAAAAATGAAATTAAAAATTGTTGTTGATTTTAGCTCAAAAGGAAATGGATAAAACTGAAAAAATTAAGCAGGAGAATAAAGTTTATAATAAAGTCGAAGAAGAAATACCTTGTTGAGAGTTGAAAATTCAATTTTTAATACAGAATAAATGGAAAGAATAAGATAGGTTAGGATGTTTTATATAAACTATGAAATAAAATATGAAATATAAATTTTAAAAAATTATTTTACACACTGAATTGATCAAAATAGTTAAGTTATGAAAACTATTACTTAAAATAATTTATACAATTTAAATTTCGCTTGTTCTTTGTTAGAAAATCTCCCTAATTGTGGGAAATATAATTTTCTTAGAATTTCCTGAATTAAACACCAACATTATTTACCCTATTTTCCATAACTTCCCTAACTTTCCCTAGAGTCTAGCTAAAGAATAGTATGCCGCGTCTCGAATTCTAATTTTTTAATGAGTCAAAGAGCGCTCCTTGGTCTGTCCAGAAAAAAGGGGGCTTGGGGGCTCTTTTCCCGGTCAGAAATTCCCCGCCTCTGGTCATTACCCTGAACTGTCATTCATTAGGTAAAGACATTTTGTAGCTGTCTTCATTAGAGTCCGGGCATCAAAGTAAGTTTGGAATTTATCTGTCTTTCAGCTAGAATTTCCTGCTTGTTGCCAGGCCCGGAAATTGCTTTGGTTTTTTCGGGTTCTGTCCACTTGGCGCCACATGTCACCGAATGGACAGGGAGAGAGACCTTGAGGGACTTCTCTTTGGCAGCTTTGGATGACCTTCGGTGTGTTGCTCATATTCATTATAAGCCCGAATAACTGTTGTTGCTGCTGGCCGAGTGGCAAGTGTCAAAATACCATGGCCCAAAAGGATTCCTCGACTCCTTACACACCCCAAGTTCCCTCGAACTGGCGCCTTCTGGTTTTCTGCTCAATTTGTTCTGGCGTCGATTTGGCCAACCTCCTCTCCTTTGCCGCTCTTTTCCCTTGGTTTTTCCCCCCTTTTTTCGGGTTCATGTTACCAGTTGCAGCTAACTGACTGCTTATTGGTTTGGCTTTCGGTTGGCCACTTGGCCCCGGCTCATGTGATTTACCGAGGTTCTGCTGCTCAAGTGTCAGCAAGCGGAATCCGAAGGGAAACCTTAGTGGCGACTGTCGACTGGCGACCGGCGACAGTTGGCCCTGTCGCAAAATTAAGCCTCATTTCTGGCCAATTCTGCAGCATAACAATCCCTGATAACTGTTGTTGTAAATCAATATTTCGATGAGGCTTTGTGGTCTATCAAAATGGGACTTTTCGGTGGGGTTTTAAGAGAAAGAAGACCTAAAAATGTGGTTTTAATATGTGTTAATTAGTTAGAGCTTCCTTTTTAAACCTATTTAATAAATAAATTTTATTTTTGATCTGAATTTTCGTCTATATTAATTTTATTTTGATATACTATATATATTTTTGATAAGGAGATTGAATACGAATATAACTATAAAAACAAAAAGAGCTTTTTTAACCATAATAATCATACAAAAAACCCTTTTGTAATTTAACTTCAAACGAATTCAAGTTTCCTAAATTTTTAATAAGCAAAAATCGATTTTAAATCGATTACCATCGATATTTTTTAGCTCTTTCTACCCATTCATCCTTTAACTATAAAAAAACCGCAACGTTCGATTCAATTCAAAGCTTTGTTTTCAACGTCAACCTCAAACACCTATTAATTAATTTTTTATATTATATAAAATACGTTTTAAAACAAAAGAAAAGCATTAATTCATTGAAAAATATCATAAAAATTGAATGACAAAAACAATGTCATAAATAATAATTAATGCCACTTAATGCCCAACAACAAAAAAGCCACCACAACAACATTCAAGAAGAGCTGCGTAAAAAGTTAATATAAATAAAAATAAAAGGTAGCACATAAATCTCTGCAGAGGGAACGAGAAGGCAGAGACAGAGACAGTTGGCCATAAAAATGGTTTATAAGTCTATAAAAGCCAATTGTTTGCATTGTCCGTAATTGTATTAAAAAACGCAACGCCAAGCGGACACTCCAATAAATATTGATGGGGAGTGCGAAGCATATGCATTTTTAATATTGGAATTAACACGGCATATAGAATGTAATTAAAACAGAATCTGATTAAATACAAACAAATTAAGTGGTTTGTAAATAAATTGAAAGGCTAGTCGTCGTCGAAAAAAATGAGTAAATAAATTTTGC